AGTAAAAAAAAATATTTATTAGTTACAATTATTTTATGATAAAATATACATTTTAAAGAGTCGAAAACAATTTCTTTTAAAACAATCTAATAAAAAATGGCTGCCGAAAGTGGTACATTTTAAAAGTTTGTTACACTTTTTCTCTGGAACAGTTAATCTAAAATGAAAAAACCAACATTTTTCTTAATCCATAGGGGAATAGTGTCAGGGTTGGACACAGTTTTGGTTTTTTGTTTATAAATATTTTGTTTAGATAAATTCAGTCAATTGTGGTATATGGATGGAAAGATCTACAAAAGAGGAACATTTTTGCTGTGGACCGTAAATTGATTGGTCCAAAATTAAAAAAGTTATAAACATTAAAAAAAAATCTAGTCAGGGTTGGACTTTTCAGTCAGGGTTGGACACTTTTTGAAAATCGAAACGCATTATTGGTAAAAACATAAAATAACATTTGTAATGTTTTTTATTCTTATTTTTTCATGTTTATCTTTACTTATTGTTTACAAATTGTAAAGCTTCATGGGTTTAAAAAAGGAATGAACTCAAATTACAAAAAATAACGCTTTATTGTTCCAAATAACTCAATGAAATGATGAACAAAATTTATACAATTTAAGTATTATTTTTCTAATATCTTTGGCACAATTTTGCACTGAAATATCAATAAAATAAAATTTATTTATAAATTGTGTCAAATTCATAATTAATATGGGTTTTCAACCCTAACTAGAAGCATCATTTTCGAATTGTGCTAACCATAACCAGACATGTGTCGCGAATCGATTTTTCACTTTTTTTCTTCTTAAATTATGTACCTCACAATACATTCAATAAGCTTACCTTGCCGAATTCTTGCTTTTTTACACATTTTTTAGGTTTATTCACAAGTCAAACAAAACTTTTTTTGTCTCTTCGATTGCACCGAAGTCACAGGAGACGCTACTTTTGATTCTCCAAAAATGTAATGCCACAAAAAGTAAGGTTACACTACTAGAAGATTCGTCACGTACGCACACAGGTGGCGCTAGTTTTCTTATTTAAAAAAAGTCAAGTGTCCAACCCTGACACTATTCCCCTACTATTTTGGCTATCGTGTAAACGAGAATGAGAAATATTTATTTATTTTAAGTAGAAATTAAACAAAAAAGTGATTCTTACCGGCTCCATACATAGATCCTTCTTTGGGTTCTAAAAGATCACACGGAGAGAAAAATTAGGTTGTGTGGACTGTAGACTTAAGTTGAAACTACTTGAGTGACTCAAGTAACGATGCCTACAGTTAAAGCAACGTTGGTCGCACGGTAGTTTTGACCGTGCGGTCCCAAATAGTATTAATGTGCCATTAAAAAGTGATATTTCCATTCATTTAAACAGTTGAGGTTATATGTGTAACAAGTAATATCAATATGTTAATATCAATAGCGAATTCAAGAAAAAAATTATACCAATTTATTTATTTGTAAAATATTTAAATATTTAACACACAACATAACTTCAAAAAGTGTTTCTTTTTATTTTTACATAATTTTTCAGTTAATTTAAAAAACCTTTGGATTCATAATTGCTTAAAAACTATATTGTGGACCTTATTATTTCCTTTAAATCATCAAAAAAATGTTAATATTTGAAATTTTTTTAAAAATCAAACCTAACCTAGAAAAAATTAATAAATATAATATTCTATTAATATAATAATTATTATTTATCAATTTAGAAAAATGTATTTTTTATTTATTTATTTTTTTATTCTAAGAAAAAAATGTTTTTTCTATTTTATGAATGAAAAATGAATATACCATAATAGCCCCAAGCGCGAAAAGTTTGTTATTTGAACTCATAGTTTAAAGAACTTAAGTGAAAAATATTTTTTTTTATAATAAAACTTGCACAATATCTTGTGGAAGATGTTCACAATATAACTTAATATAGTTGAATCAATCATTCGATAAATTTTAAAATTTTAGTGAGGCATAGAATAGAAAAATTGCTGGTTTTTTACCATAATAGCTCCAGTTGGCAGTTTCTTTTTTATCAATATTCAATGCATTTATACAGTTAAATTGTTTTTATTAGTAAGTAAACTAGTGTGATATAAATAAAAAAATGGAATAGGCGATTTTTAAATCAATAAAAAATGCACAATTTTTTAATAATTTATTGTCAAATTACATTAGTGAAATGTTAACATAAACATTTTTCCGATCAATAAAATTCTAATTTTTATAAAATGTACCTCGTCGCTACAAATAAACGATTATCATTTTAGACTAATAAACAAGGATGAATATCTGGTAATTCAGAAGCTTTCTTTAATCTTAATATATTACGTGCTTCAACATTATATGCATAAAAATGTTGATCGAAAGCTACAGAAATTAAAGGAAGAATAAGTAAATAAATGCCATCTTCCTTTATAAATATTTCTTCAACTTTTCCGAACTCCAGCAAATCATTTTCTCCCATTTCGATAACAAAAACCATATGTACTTGGTAATTTACACCTTTTGTTTGCGCATGTTTTGTTGTAAAGATTTTTTCATTAGAATTACTACTTGGAAAATACATTCTTCTACTTCGTTCGTCAAGATTTTCCTGTTTCTGATAACCTGCTTCATCATCTATCAAACTTTTACCCGATGCTTTTAAATACGCCAGTTGCAATTGGCTTTTAAGACATATAGTTTTTAAAATATTTATTTTGCTGCTTGTGTTGACTGCCGTTAGTTTATGTTGCCTGTGTTTGGATTCGAACCTCATAGCCCAATAATGAACTGCAGGTCCATTATTAATCAATACGGGTGAAAGATGAGTCATGTTGTGAAATTTGTATTTTAACAGACCGTACAGCGATTTATACGAAGAAAGAAACTGTGGAATTAATATATCTAATTGACATATATGTCCTTTTACAAACCGCGGTGAAGTGACTATGGCTACAATTTTACGAAGCAAAATGTATAAATTCCAAACAGGATTAGTTCCCTTTACCCTGTCTCCAACAATTAAAGAAAAATATCTCACAAAACAAAGCATTTCGGAGGCTGACATTTTTAATTTCTTCTTTATTTGAATATGTTCTTTTTTAATAATCGGTATTTTATTCGACATTTCGAGAGTACTGTACTCAAAGCATTCTATTCTTTTATTTAAAGTATCCAATGAAAAACATTTTTCCTTGTAAATTAAATCATTGAGAATATTCACCATTGTGTAATTAGCAGTGCCTTCAAGGATATCGTGCATTATGTCTAAAATCATACAAAGGACATTGTGAAAACCTATTACTCGATTAAATGTACAGGGTTCAACAATTCCAGTAATAGATGGATTTTTCAAAGCACAGTCTTCGTCATAAGATTTAATTGTTCTTAATAATTTTTCATCTTGTGCAGTTAAAGTTTGAATTTTTTCAATGGGGGCATGACATATGCGGCAGGGATGTCCTGAATTAAAACCACAAACATGACCTAATATGTCATTCAATCCTTGATTATCACCGAGAACCAGACACAATTGAAAAAAAACTTTGATTTTTTCATTGTTGACAATTATTTCGAGACCTTTATCATTCAATTCATTTAATTCAGAAATAGGTTTATCAAATACTTTATTCCCATATGTTTTTCGATCGCTTGCATGAAACAAAGATGTTAATAAAATGCTCTTCAATTTTGCTGTAATATGGGGTGGAAGGCATGGTATTTGACAATATGCTCCTCCTAATTTTTGATTTCCAGCATGAGAACCGAGTGGGTTTCCTGTTTCAAATTCATCGTAGTAGAAAAAGAGAGGTATGAAAAATTTACCCTTTTCGAATTTTTTACTCATTTTTTTCCAAAGTTTTCCTTGTATAAAGTTACAAGTGATCTCCGAGTCGTCTTCTAAATCCTTCATGTAACTTTTTAACAGATGAAACATCCCTGGTAATTCTAAAAGTAATTTTAAAGTCCATTTTAATGGAATATATTGCATAACAACTTTTTCTTTTTCCATTGTGAGTACGTTATTTACAACTTTATTAGTGAATCGAGACGCTATTTCGCATTCTATAGGTTGTATCATAAGTCCCTTTTCTTGATACATTGAAAATCGATGATGCTCTGTTGCAAATTTATCAAAAATTTCTTTTGAAGTGTCGAAAGTAGATTGAATTTGATAAAGAATTTGTTTATCAATTTTACTTGAAGCTAAATTCATTTGTTGATTAACATATCTTCTAAACGTAACGTTTGTAAAATTTATTATGCTATCGACAAAAATTTGAACAACGTTTCGTGGTAAAGCGGGATTATTATACAGTTTTAATGTTAATAGTAACATTTCAAATTCTAAATCGACGATTAAAGACATTTTGAATTCAGCATAAAATTATAAAATAAAAATCGATTATAAGGCAGACTCAAGATTGCTAATACGATGTAGAAAATGACGTCCAATTTTTACAGATGTATCAAGAAAAATAAATATCTGAAACCAAAAGAATACAAGCGGTCATATGACAGTACATAGACTCTAATTTGTTTTAGTGCAAATTCATATTTTTCGTAAATAAATTTGTTTGTTATATATACTCAGAGTAAATGAGAAATTATTTTTTTATGGTTCATTGCTTGAATAATAAAAAAACAATAACAATAAAAAAGATAAAAACGTTTAATTACGATGTACGTATCATATAATATATGTTGCTTTTGAAAAAGTAGTGCATATGTGTTAAATATACGCAGTTTATTAATTTCATTAAAAAATTTAAATAAATTATTTACTTGAATTCATTGAAACAAAGAGTACTTTAACTGTTAAAAAAAATAAATTTGTTTATAAACACGTTTTTGAAATTAATTTGAAATAGGTTTAAAAATACTTTATTAAAAATTACAAAACAAATATTTTATTAGGATTGCTTACATTGCAAAATAACTTGACATAATACACGTATTTGTTAACATTTTATGCTTCCTTTTTAATATCGCAGATTATAACTTGAAACCGATTTTTATAACAAAAATGAAAACTTTATACTTTTAGAATTTCAAATGATCAAATTTTTCTTAATTTACAAGATTTGTAGAATTATTTTTTTCTTTTAATGCATTTATATCTTCAATCAGTTTGTTAACAGAAGTATATGGCTTTAAATTATTCAATTCCACTTGGTATATATATTTCTGAAAAAATGTCCAGATATGTTTGCATTCACATGGAAATTCCAAATTTAATGAAAGCATACATTTGAAGCAAGCAGAAACAGCTTTAATAATTTGGTTTGATTTCATCTTGTAATCAATATTGTTAATGACAACGAAAATTTCGGTACTAGAATTTTGTGCAATCTCATTTTCGGATTCCACTTCTCCTTCTTTTTCTATATCTCCGACAAAAGCTAAGTAAGGCAAAATTTTATTTCCCGTCGCTGTGCTAAGTTCCTCTCGTTTATTTTTGAAATCAATTAGTTCTTCTTTTGACTATAAAAGTTGTTAAATAATTGTAACTCGAAATAATCACATATATTAAAAATTTCGATGAAATTATGGGTCTAAAATTATTTTCAAAAAAACACTTTCATTTAAAGAAATTTAAATATTCAATAAGAACATATAAGTCATAAATTACCTTGGTGATAAGAAGAAAAGAGTCTGTCACGTCTTGTATCGAGTTACCAAAATATGAATCACAATTTTTTCTTTTTCGAACTAGAATTCCCAAAAGTCTAGGAAGACAGAGAAGAGCAACAACATTTGTTTTCCCTGAAATAATACAATGTCCAAATTGATTCTTCAATACATATACTAGTCAAAAATTAATATTACCTGCTTCAATTAATTGTTTGTCGATGGCATTTAGCCTTTTTTTTCTTTAGTAATAGAAACTATCAGTGGAGCTAAGGTTTCCCATTCTTTTTCCAAATTATCAATTGACGTCGGATATGTTGCATCAAAGTCTTGCTCCAGCTGCAATAAGTTAATTTTTAATAGAAAGAATTAAACAAAGATATTTGTAATAAAAAATAAAGGTTAAAAAAAACTTTACTAATATGTATCCAAAAGAAGAACATAAACATTTGAAAGCGGCAAAGTAATTTAGAACATTCTTGCATCGATCTCTGTACGGAAATGACTCTCTCCATTTTTTAATTACTTCATCTTGTGGTTCATCATTTTCTTGTAACCATTTAATTATAATTTCTTCTTCAGATAAGGGTGAAATTGCTTAAAAAATTATTAATATAATAAATAAAATATCAATAAATGTTATACACACAGTTTACTGCAGATCTCAAATTAAGATCTGCAGTAAATTGTGGCAATAAGCGATCAAAACATTATGAATTGAAGTTATAATCATGTATACACACTTCCTTGGTCACAATCGTTCTTCTTTGCAAGGCCATACGCAATTAATTTTTGTCTATAATTGAGATATTTATCATATAAAGCCCCACCACAATTTATTGCTTTTCGAGTTTTTGTACTTCTTGTGAACGGGTAATAAAAGATTTGAGCTATTTCGTCAGCTTTCCGATTTTCACTTGTAAAGATTGCACCTAATTCATTTGATAGCTGCACAAACCTTTCCTTGGTTATTCTGTTAAAATAAAATTTTATTTTTGAAAATAATTTGTATGCAATAAATTAAAAATCTTATAAGAGGATCCCTAAAATTTCTAAATGGCCCTTTTTATTTCACTATATTGAATATTTTATAAAATTATTTTGTTACACCTTCGAACAATCTGTTGATATTTACCTATAAGACCGAGTGAAATCAAATTCGTAATTTATTATTAAATTACATATTAATCGAGTATCGATGATAGTATCCTTTTCGAAAATTTGAGTAATAAGCTTGCCTTGGGTCGTACAGCTTAATAAATCTTTAACGCTTTTTCTCAGTTCAGCTGTCATAATTTAAACAAAGAATTCAAACACGAAATGAAATAAAAAAATCATGTATAATGAAATGAACATGAGAATTACATAACTGTCTCTCAAGGATGCTTAGTCCCGTAATGTAACCTCAAACTAAAAAATAATTTGTCACAAAACTAAAAATATATTTGATATTCACTTCACTAAATTTTAAATGATTTAGTTATACAATTTTGAAATAAAATGTTTTGATTCTAAATAGTCAAATAATAATTATAGAACATTTTGTGTTTTTTCTTAAAAGTTATGTAAGAATTGTAATTTTTATTCAATGTTTTTAAACAGTAGATCATTTTTTAAAGTTTTCCCACAATTCTGATTTTGAGTTTTTGTTGAATAATTTTTTGTTTAAAAAATATAACAATTTTATTAGTTTATCAATTTTTTCAAAATTTTTGCAAAATAAGCTATTTTTCTAAAAACTGGATAAAAATTGAAATTTTACATCAACTTGAAATACAAGGTATAAAATGTAGAATAATTATCATTTAACGACAAATTTTTGTTGACAATTTTTTTTAAATTGTACAAATGAATATTGCAAAGTTTGATAACATCAATTTTCTTTAGTTTTATTTTGTTGTAAAAAAAACTTTTTAGTTTGAAGTTATGTTGAGTATCCTTAAAATAAAAATTAATATAAATTTTTAGAAAATAAAGCAAATAAAATAAATGATAATCACATTAAAAATAAAATATAAAATAATAATAAAATTAAATATTTTAAGTACCCTTAAAATAAAAATAAAAATGAATTCCAAAAAACCTACGCATATAACTGATTAAATCGTTATTAAAATCTAATTCTTCACTTAATCCCAATGCATCAAACGAAATCGAATTAGAAAGTGATATTTGAACTTGATTTGAACTTTGCGAATTATTAGATTCAGCAGAAAAGTTTTCATTATTTGTAACTTTCTGCTGTACAACTTTTGTATTGTCATTTTCTTCTCCAACGACCGAATTTCGCCATTCTTCAAATTTCTTTTTAAATTTTTTTTTAAAACCACACTCTAATTTTTCAAAAAGTTCGTCGATTAAATTGTCGTTAATCATATGTCTAAAAACATCTTCATCTATACCTGCTTCTATAAAAAGACATATTTATGAAAAACTATTTCGGATAATAAAAATATATAAACGCTTCCTTAAATAATTAAACAATTAATATTACATATTTATATGTACGCAAAAAATGGTCGAAAGAAAAATATTAATTTTTTTTAATTTATAGGTTAGGTTTAAGTGTGCAATACTTACGATTAAATCTTTCCATGAAAGTTTCCAATTTCTACTCTCTTAAAATATTTTGGACGAACTCATCCATTTTAATACTTTTGTCAATAAAATAACTTTTGAATAATATGAACAATACGAAAAAAAAACAATATAAAATCAACAGTAACTTCCAATGCAGGAAAAAGTTACTTCACAAGCGCGTGTGTGAATAGCGCCACGCTGCCAAGCAAAACTGATTGGTCAAACCGTCTGTCGGTATTATTTGAGAACATTATAGCCCTAACTTGATCGCCAAGTCAAATCTACCGTGCTCTCCAGTTACAAATGCCTTGTTTAATAAAATTGGACCAACGACTTGAAACAAAGCAGTTTTCACCTAATTTTTCTCTCCGTGCATTTTCAATTAATCTAATGCAAGTCAAGTAGCCGACCGGTATAAACGTGTGCGTTCGCGCGCTTGGTGAATTGTTGCATGTTGCTACTCAATTTATATCAGTTCTAGATCTTGGAAATACTTTAGACTAATTTTTCCGTGTTATTAAATAGTTATACTAGCTAAAAATGAAAAAAAAAATTTCGATTTTTCGAAAAAAAATTATTGTAATGTCCCCTTGATGTAAATAAAAGCATTAATTGTAAACATTAATTATTTTGAAATCTTTTATTATTTTCTCACCGCTTGCACGAAAAGGCATTTTTTTCAAAGTTAAGCTGAATCGGCTGAATCTTTCCCTCAAGCGATGATTGGATCTTTTTTGATTTGTTGATCGTCAAAAATTAACACTACCTGATGCAATTTGAAATCCTCCTTGAGATACTTTATCAATCCATCAAAGTAATCACTTGTTGATGATATTATATATTTCATTGTGCGTAACTATCGCGTTTCACTGATAGAAATTATCAGACAATATCAATGAAAAGCGAAAGTTATTAATGCTACATATTTATTTAAGGAAATAAAACTTGTCTTATTTGTCCTTTAAGGAATTCTGAAGCCGCCATTAAAATTAAATTTTTTTCGGTCGCCAATTTGAATTTTTGAATTTTGATCAATAATACAGATTTAGCGACCCCAAAAACTTTAGAATAGTCATTGTGACATATTGGGATCTGACATTCGTACACATGCCATCTGGTGTTGAAAAATGTAACTAGTTTTGGATAACTGTTTGTGTCACTTGCAATTGTAGTTCCGCTATCATTGTTAATTATTTTATCATTATGAATGAAGCTACATTTTTACCGCGTGAGAAATCTTCCTGCAGAATTAAGTGTTCTGTGAGAGGCTGTGGCAGTACTGTAGCGGAAAATTTAAGCGTAATTTTCCATAAATTTCCGAAACCAAAACAACGAGTAGTGGATGTGAAAAATACGTTCGATAATTTTGAAAAAGTCGATCAATTAAAGGCCTGGAAAAATGCTTTAAAAATAAACAGTATAAAGCCTTCTATGAGAGTATGTTCTCTGCATTTCAAAAGAAGTGATTACATTTTGCCATGTAAGTTTAAGATTTTAAAATTTGGAGGTTATATAATCTTTCATATTACCCGTGCATGTGAACATTTTGAAAGTTAATTTATCACTGTAAAAACGGATAAATAAATTTTTTTTTCAATTCTTGTTAACAGACTTTTACAATGAAAAATGAAATACATACATTTATAAATTTTCATATAATTACATGAAATATAAAGGAAAATACAATACTTTTCTTGCACAAGTATCGCTGGATTTGAGAAAATAATTTGTATAAAAATAAGATTTCTTTTATATTTTTATTCATGTTTGTAAATAGGAATGTAAATAGTAATTTTGTATTAAAAAAATTCACTTATACATTTATTAAATTAAGCAATATTTTTTAAACGATTTTAAAAACGATTTTTAAACATGCATCCCATGTTATTCCCATGTAAATTCACTAAAAGTGTTACCCAATTTACGCCATATTGCTTTAGGCCCCGCCCCCATGTCAGATCCCAATTCTATTACAGTCATTTTTTTTAATGCTGCTAAAGCGGTCATACACATTAATGGCACAAATTATTTTTGTGTCTGTAGACGTTAAATAAATAAGTAAATAATTTACAACCTTATTGATAGAAACATAAAATATTCAAATAAAATTAATAAAAAATGCTATCTTCAAAGTTTTATTAAGAAATATTGGGATGTCCGTTACTGTGAAGCGCTCTCTGTTGGAAAAATTTTTAACCCTTGAAAGTAGGAAGTTTGGCAATTTTTGTCCAGTTTAAACCAATCAGAGTAACTTTCAGACATAGTGGTGAAAAATGGTACTACTGAACGTAGGATAAAATGCTAAGCCACGCCCCTAGCGGACATCCCAATACAAAAAACATTTTTAAGTTGTACATCAAAATTTAAATAGACTATAGGCAGTGAATAATTAAATAAAAAATAATTAATGATTATAGAATTTAAAAAAATGCTTTATCTTATTTTTGTATTTTTTTAAAACATTTAGTTTTTTTTTTTGCATAAAACTTGATAATAATATCAGTCTTCAATATTTTTTTTTTGCAAAAAATAACAGTCTGTTTTTCTCCTCTATATGAATAATTTCATCTCATTTTCTCGCTAATTCAACTTTATTGAAAATGTGATTTATTATCCATTAGAAATTAATTAATAAAATATTACTTTCAACTATATTATGTCTAAGTATATATGTGTTTCTTAAATTAGATTCGTATTTTATATTATTTTTTGTATTTTCTTTTTTGTTTTTAATTTTCTTTAAAATATAATTAAGATTGTCTAACAGTCTCTGAAATTCTTTGCCAAAGAGAGACATTTAATTATTGCCCTATAAAAATGGCACTGAACACGAAAATGATAAATATTGATTTTAAAATACCTTATTTTATAAATTTCCTAAATCCAAAAAAATTGTGCGAATTTATACAAAAACGTGATTACAAAACGAAAAGTAGGAAAGTAATATAATGACAGGTTTATTACGCCCTGCTGCCGTCAGATGGCGAAAGCATGCAGAGAGCACAAAGTCGTGACTGTTATTATATTACTTTCCTACTATTTGTTTTTCAATCTCGTTTTTATATGGATTCACACAATCTTTTAAATTTAGAAAATTTTTAAGATAAGGATCCTTGGTATTTTGGACGATTTTGTGATACTTTTAATTAAATTGTTAAATCTCTCAAATAATTATTTGAAACACAAAAAAATGGTGTAAATTAATTTTTAAAATTTGATGAAAAAGATTTTAAAAATTTGTTTAATACGAAGAAACATATAAATTACAGAATAAAAAAAATTACATTAGAAATTTAAAGAAAAAGTTAATGCAAGAAATCTATAAAAATATAAATTGTTTTAAAATTTTTTTAAAATTATCTTAACAGAAACAAAATATCTCTATATTTTATATAAGAAATAAATAAATATCTATTTATACTTTTCAATATAAAAAAGTTGAATAATAATTTGTTAAAAATTAAATTACAAAACTGTAATTATATTTAAGTAAAAACATGTTACTATGTTTTTTTTATGCTACATTTTGATTCGTGGTTAATAAGACTGACATGAATGCGAACGATTTTTTTATTATCTGAAAAATAGTAAAAAATATATTATTGATATAAAAAAAAATTAATTATTATTATCTCGTTACCTATTTAAACTCAATTTATTACGTACAGCCATGAAAGTTTCAAAAGAAAAAGAACAAAATTTTCCAGCTGTGATTTTTAGTGGATTATTTGTTCTAAATACCAACATCATTAAATCAATAGATTCAGTTGCTGTTAAGTTATACCATTTGCTCTTTTGAATTGATCCTTGCAATTTAACGCTCTAAAATCAAAATTATTATAAATTAAATATAAATGAAAACAAATTTTTATTGCTTTTGTAAAATTTTATTTCTTTACTGTTGTTTTTTTAATTTTTTCAAAATTATAGAGAAATTAGTGTAAGTTTCAGAATCCCATGCAATGCTAAAAATTGAATTCGAGTTTAAATTATTTTTAACCAAAAAGAAATGAAAATCAAAAGTAAATTTAATTTTTTTTGGTTTAGAAAAAAACTTTTCTCATAGGAAAATTTGCAAAATAAAAATTTAAACTTGCTTAAATTATATTAAAATACTTACGGTATTTTCTAACTTCTCTCCCAAAAAACATATTACAAACAAATTTGACAAAATTGTAAAAACAAATGCCAACCAAAAAATATATTCAAAACAACTTATTCTTCTGCTTCTAAATATCGTCTGAAATCGATAATTTGACTTTAATAATTATGATTAAAAAATAAGAAAAACTAGTTAAATTTTGTATTGAAATTTATTTTTTTCAATTCCCCACCAAGAATAAATAACCTTGTAGACATAATTGAGCAGTGAAAACAAGCAATTCTAGCAGCAATACTTTGTTGAACGTCTCCTCGATTGTAATTGCAAATCTGAAAAAAATTATTTATTTTCAATAATCAATTCGTAAATTAATTTCTTCTTTTGTTATTAAATTATTATTTATAAATTTGAAGGAAATGTTATTAGTAAATTCGCTTTGAGAAATAAAAAAAAAAGTTATAAAGAAGAAAAAATTTTGTTTCATTAAAATGGTACAAACTTTGATTGCACACATAATTAATAAAAAAATAGAAAAAAATTTTCTAATAAAAGTTACACAAAATCTAGAAGTATGTCCACAACACGAGTAGACTAAATACTTTAAGGCCAGGTCCAAGTGAGGTGGCAGCGCCATCTACATTGAAACTAAAATTTTGGAAAATTTTCAACAACCTTTTCTTGAAAACAAGAAGGTAAAATGCTTTTTCCTTTATGGATAATTGATTATTGGCAAGATATACACCAGCTAAAACTTTTTTTGAGTTAAAATAATAAAAAAAATTTCATGTCAATAAATTAAATATGAGCACTTTTTTCACAAAAACTGTAACAGTACTTTCTCAGAAATTACAATCAAAAATGCAATTTCCATTTGGAAAATTAATAAACGCTAAAAAATACACGACCTAAGATTTACCAATCACGAAAATAACAAAAAAAATTTTTTTTAAATATTTAACATATTGATACTGCTTTTCTCATTGTGACAGCCCTTTGGTAGATTATGTATTTCAGGTGGTTAGCAACAGCGCCAATCTCCTCCTTTTGGCAAATCTGCGAAACGTCTGGTGACATATATAACCTGCCAAACGGCTGTCATAATGAGTAAAATATGTTATGTTAACATACTTTTAAAAAATGGTTCTCCAATTAACATATTACAGCAAAAAATTAAAGAAAGATACAATTATTTAATAAATAATAATAAAAATTATACTCCACCTAACAAAGAAAATATCACAACTATTTCACTACCATATATTAAAGATCTTGAGAATGTCTTTTATAACATTTTCAATAAATTTAATATAAGAATAGTCCAATCAATTGAAAATACAATACAAAAAAATATTTTATATTCAACAAAAGATAAAGTAGAAAAAAACAACAAATTAACACCATATATAAAATACCCTGTCTTAACTGTAATAATATATACATTGGAGAATCATTAAGATATTTGCAAACTAGAATAAGAGAACACACTAGAGATGTTAAAAATAAAAAAAACAAATACAGCCTTAGCTACACACGCTTCCGAAAATAAACATAATTTTGACTTTAATAAAGTAACAATTTTGAACACAGAACCAAACTATCATAAAAGAAAATTCCTAGAGGATGATATATATAGCAAAAGAAAAAAATTCAATAAATTTCAAAACAGATATAGAAAAATTAGGCAATATCTATCAAGGTTTTTTAAATAACGTGAATTAATACAGTATCCTACAATATAAGCATCTAAACACTCTATAGTTTTCAAATCTAAAAATGTAATGCAGCAAGTGTCTGCTATATAAAGATGGTAATAACCATCCTCATTTATCTTTTATAATTTTAATTCTTTTTATTAAAAAATGACTCAAGAAAGGAAAAAAAATACTTTTTACTTTTATAAAACTTTTCTTTTAAAAATAAAATACTATTCTCAATAGAAATTCGACATAAAAATAATGAATAGAGAGATGTCAAAATTAACCTCTTTTTTCTCATTTACATTTTAAAAAAATTCAATTACGTAAGTACTAACTTTTTCTAGATACAATACAAACACTTTATACAAAACTAAATTATTAAAAATTAATTTTCAGTGTAATATAAAAAAAAAAAAAATTTTGTAAACCTGATGAGGGTAGCGGCAGCTGCCGAAACGTTGTTTATGTATAAAATAAACTAAATATTTGTGGTGATGGAAATGGCCTAAAATTCTTTAATTACAAAATTAAACCACATAAAAAGTTCATCTAATGAAAAAGCATTTTACCATCTTGTTTTCAAGAAAAGACTGTTGAAAATTTTCCAAAATTTTAGTTTCTATGTAGATGGCGCTGCCTCACTTGGACCTGGCCTTAAGAAACATATTTCTCTAGTGACAGGCTCTTTTTATAAATTAACTATTTTATATAGAAAATTAAAAAATTTATTTCATTTAAATAGTTATTTAAATAATATATTAATATTTTAACTAATTTTCCTACCATAATATCCTCGGTTGACAGTATTATTTTTTTTTATAAATTTCCTTTTGAATAATTTGAGTAAAATAAAAAAAAATTTTTTTCTTTTATTGTAAAAATAAAAATCACTTTTTCTAACCTGTTAAGATGTTCATGTTGAATGACAAAAATTTTAAGTTTAGATCGATATTCGGCGAGAGTTTGAAATTCATGAGTATTAATGAATTCTTCAATGGTAAATTGTAATATTTCAAATTGACCATGTAAATGTAAAATGAGCATTCCACAAAAGCTAATTATTCCACCGTAAATAAGGCCTGAACAAAAACCACCAGTAAATTGAAATAAAATAATAAGTTCATAAGTTGGACTTTCTGTTGTATGAAAAGGAAAATATGAAAGATAGAGCCATTGTCGAACTGGATATATTCCACTTAAATTAAAATAAACTTCTGAAATTAAAAATAATAGAACCGCAGACATCGTGCCAAGTACACAATATAATGTAATAATTAAGGAAACATTAGCATTCGACTTCATTATTTTTCTATTAAATTCACTTTTTTCACAGTTCCAGTCATCATAAATTGATACAATTAATTCCCTCAATGCTGTAATTGAACAATAAAAACAAAATTTAAATAATTTTTTTTTTTAATTTTCAAAAATTTATTTTATTAACATTATTTTTTATTTGAAAAGTTTTTCTTTATACAGTTGAATTGTAAATTAAATTTAAAAAAAAAAATAAACTAAATATGGATAAAAATTACATAACTTGAAAATAATTATATTACAATATTGCTGAAAATACCTTGTCTATTATTGCAAATTGCAAATAATTTCAAAACTCCAATAGTGACGGGAAAATTTGCTAATGACAAACTTTCAGAAATTAGATTAAGATCTGGCCAAATTTCAAATACAAATGCAGTCTGTGGCAATGTAATAAATAATAAAACATTCATTGCAGCTAAAAATGAAATAAAATTTGAAATTCTTCCATCTTTGTCATCAATTCGTGGCCAAGCTCCAATTATGCTTAATTGAATTCGATTCCAAGTGATCGAGAAATTTTCCTCATTAACTAGAAAAAATTTTGAAAAAAAAAATTGTTTTATTTCTAATAATTTTTTTGCTTTATTTTTATTATAGAAATTTTTTTTTTAATATTCAACAAAATTGGATAATTAATATTAATTTAAAATAAAATTTATAGTTAATTTACCATTTTTAGAGGTCATTTCGATATTATTACAATGTACGTCTTTATCCTTAACAGTATTTGAGAAAATTGCGCAGGCTTATAATGGTGGGATAAAACGATTCTCTTTAGTTATTAAAAATTTAATTTTATAAAAGTTCTGTTCTTATAAGTTCTGGGCAAAAAAAACCTAATGAACATTTATAAAAAAAAAAAAACTTACTCAGCATATTAAATAAGTTAAACTCCTTTTTCTTTACATTGGTCAATATAATCAGTCTGCAACTGTTCTTCATAAGAGAATAGTCTCTTTTTTCCATTTTTAAGATTTAGTTTTTAATTAAAATTATTGACGTAAAATATACTTAACAATGGTGTAATTTTATTAAAACTTTAAATGAAAAAAAAATATTCACATTGTATATTAAGTTAGCGACGTAATAAACCACAAAATTCGTCGGAAATGTCAAAATTTTATAATCTATTAGTTTTTGCCTTCTTTTTATAATAAATTATCTACAGAGTTACTTCATATTGAAATTTTATACTCACTTATAATTGTATATGAAAAAATTAATTTTTTACAATTTTGTAATTTTTTTTTTTGCAAAAATTTTTTTTTTTTTGATATTTTTATTTGTTTCTTTTTTTTTGTTTATTTTCAAAAATCAATCAATATTTGATTTCAGACGTATAAAAGTCACTATTTTAATTTTTAATCAAAATTATTAATTTAAGCGTTTGGTATTTTATAAAAACAATTTTTTTTTATTTCACAAAAAATTACATTATAGAATCAGAATTTTTTCTCATATAACAAAAATAATAATTAAAAAAATATTTACAACAATTTTATATTCTTTTGCAGATTTTTTGACAACTCTATGGTAAAAAGTGATTTGAAATGGACAAATTTAAAAAAACACTTCTTTCTTTTTTTTCAGCGATCTACAAACAATTTGAAAAATATTAAAAACATTGTGACATTATTTTTAAATTTTTGTGAGGATCATTGTTGTATCCAGTCAAGGAGCAAGAACAATTTTTATATATGAATTCTCCAAACTTTCGTTTTCATCAAAAAATATTAACATAATGTGATTGTAGAGTCCATTTAATTTTCTAAAAGTAAAATTGCCGGCAAATTTAACATTGTGGACCTAAATGCTGTTAAATAGTACTCCAGAAAAAGAATAAATATTTTTAAAAAATCACGATTCATTGTAGATGAAAGAAAAATAATCTTAAAGAAAAATTTTTAGATTTGTAAGAAAAATATTATTTTTTCTAACAATAATTCATGAAATAGAATAATAAAATTGTTTTCTTACAGATCATTTCTTACGTAAATATAAAAGGAAACATACCTAAGTGATTCTATTTTTTCAAAATTTTTTTTTAACACATTTAAAATTCAACAAATTTCTTAAGCCTTTAAGAAATCATTATAATTTTTACTATAGAAAATTTTAAAAAATATTATAAATTTTAGTTATTAAAAAATTAAGAAATTTTGATTTTTAATTTTCTATTTTCATAATTTAATTGTCTGTAATTAAATAAATAAATAAATTAAGTTGTCCACAAATATTAATATGTGCATTTATATTAATTTTTTTTATAAGTGTCAAAATTTTTGAGATATAAATTTTGAAAAAGAATTTTTTTATCAACGTAGACATATTTTCAAATATAATTATGAAAGTATTGAATTTAATAATAATAATAATCTATTAGTTAATTTATTTTGAAATTTTATAATTTTTACACACACACATATACAATATATCTAGTAAATATTATAAAGAATATTATTAAGTTTGAAAATTAATGTTCTCATGAAATAAAAATTTACTTATACAGAACATCGATATTAGTGGAGATAAAAAAAATTATCCTAATTATAGCATATTGACTAGTGAAAAAAAAGTTTAGAACTTTTTTCTTGTAAAAACGATATTCGATTAACTTCTTTTACGTATCATTAAGCTTTGTATTAGAAAAAAAATTGCAGCTCTTATAGCATTGAATGTGTATAAAAAAAATTTTTTTTTTTGGCTAAACGCAGATGAAGTAGAAGTCAATGAATTGATATAAATTTAAAGGAATAGCATTTTATCATTAAATCATTGTCCTTATAAGGTAAAAAACCCAATTATGAAAGGGTAGTTTTTGAGATTCATTTCTCTAAGAGACGATAATTAGTATTATTGTATTAAATAATTTTATCCACTTTCAAAAAAAGGACAAATTTAATTTAAAAATAAAAAATTAACTAATAAAATAGTCAGTAAAGTTAAAATAGAATTTTTTGTTTTTCAATTTCAAAGTTTAGTTGGCTTTTTTCTTAGAGAATACTTCATATATAAGGCATATATTTACACACCTGAATATTAATAAAAAAAAAAAAAAAATACACAACATGAAATGAAATTAACATAATTTATCAACTTGTGTTTATATTTATTTATACAAATTTACCAAGTTTAATTTTTTTTTTTATTTATATAATAACATGACACGTGTTATTTTTCTTATGATACTTTTATAACATTCACGTAAAAAAATTATTAATATCTGATTAATCAATTATTATTAATAATAAACTCTTAATTTATAGTTTTAATTCGTTTAATTTCGTTCATGATATTTTTATACCATTCATACTTTTCATTAATACTATCAAATGTAGATGTTAGTAGTACTTTTAAAACATTACCCATTCCACTAATTGTCACATTTTTAATTTGACTTATTGTAAATACACTGCCAGGTAAAAGAATATTCTTTTTTTCCCAAAGAACTTCAAATTGTTCGACCTTCATCTCGATTTCTGCTCTAAAATAAGGTCCTATAAAATTGTATTCATACAAAATATTTTTAAATCCAGACGATGGATATGAGTAAAATCTCATTACAGATTCTTCTCTAGCTGATGTTGAAGTAAATTTTTGCAAAACAATTCGTTTACCTACGTACAATTCTTTGGCGATAAATTCTAGATGTTTAGTATCGACACGAAATAATCTAAATTCAAATTCCTCGCTTAAATCTTCAAATTGTCTTACTGCCAAATTATAGAGGGCAATTTTCATCTGTTTTGCTTCACTTATGTCAGCAGTAATTCTTCTATCACCTGTTGTGGCAAAATTTCTTATTGCATAGTAATCTTCAAATGTCACCGAATAACACGCCTTCTGATCATTGTAATCATTAATTATATTTTCTAAAGATGTTCCTTTTTCAATTTTACATCTCTCTCTGTAAGTGTAAATGGAATTAATTCTTCTTTCACCATCATACAATAACACCTTATTACTCTTTTCCAAACGTATATCGTACATTAATTTTTTTAAATAACCTGATTTATCAATTATATTCTTAATACTCCAATCATTTTTTTCAAAACTTAAATCTTTAGACAAATTTTCGATAAAGTAGTATATTGATGAATCATTTAAAAATGTATAATATTTCAATATAACGCGTATCTTTGCTTCAAATGAAAAATGTCTTCTTTTAAGAATTCCCTGTTTTCTTAATGACTTTACTGTTTCCTCTTCGTAATTAATAATTTTAATTTTAAAACGCCATTCTCTCAGACAATCACCAAAGTGTTCTGTTTTTTCTAAATATTCCTCAGTATTACATTTATCATTATCAATATAATATATCGGTATACCAGAAAATAGTACTCGTGTTGATTTCCGTCGAAGTTGATTATTAATTTCATAGATGAAATAAGGTTTAGATTCAATTGTGTTATTTAATTTCATATACGTTTTAACATTATTTAATGATAAATTTTGCATTATTGGTATTATTAATATTTCATCTTTAAATTCATATCCAGTTCTTAATTGTGCAATTTCTTGTGTATTATTAGATGTACGAATAATTATAAACTTGTAACCATAACCAGTGTTATCATTTAAACTATTTACTAAAAACTGTTCTTTCTTTCCATTAACCATCATTTGAATTTGTTTAGTATAAGTAAATTTTAATAATTGCATTTTATTCAATATATCCTTGACAGATGTAAAATTGTAATTTATATTCTTTTCTAAATCATTAATAATTCTTACCACTAGTATCATACCATTTTGTGTACGACAAAAAGATTTAAATGATGGTTCCTCCATGTTTAGGGAAAATTTATCATAAACTTCATCCATAGGTGTATCATTTTGTGGCAATAGATTAGAATCGTTGTTTACATCTACTATTTTACTAATTGTTTCTTTTAAGAATATTGTTTTAATAGTTGTACCCAATGATGAAAGAAGAGATTGTGTATTTTTTTGTATTAAATGTAATGATACATTTGAAAATTTATTGATAAATTTAATAATATTTTTTTCACATGTATTATTTTTGATAAACTGATGTTCTGTGATGTTGTTTAAACAAGAATAGAATGGCATCAATGATAAACCAAATTCTTTCCACCAATGACTTTTATCATTCAAAGAAACTAAATGGGATTTAAATCGTTTTTTCTTATATTTCATTAGTTCTTCAGTAAGTTTATTGGTACTTTCATTTGCATACTTTAAAATTATACGATGTCCGGAATGTATTAATTTTTTTATAGAAAAATTAATTTTCTGTCGAAAAATTTCAGGATTATCAGATTCTTTAATTATTGTAACAGTGTAATTTTCTCGTATTAAAGCATAATAGTCAAATGTTTCATTCTGAGGAGAATAAAATTCAAGTAAATCGTAGGATAATTGCTGTGAACTATTATTTAAATGATCATCTAATACTATTTGATCGTTGGTAAATAATAGTGTTACTACTACACCATGAAGATCATCTATTAAAGAATCTCTAAAAGATTGTTGAGTTATTTCTAAATCATATTTTCCATATATCTCGCTAATATTATAAATTTGTTCCTCATATAAATCATTTAAGTTTCGTAGCACAAAGCCACGTTGACATTCAAAATTTTCAGCATTTTGAATATAAACAGAAATTCTTGTTTCGCGATATTCCTTACTCAAAAATTGGCATTCTGAATCTAATATTAATTCTGCCATTGCAGCAAAATTTTGAAAATTCGAGAATGCTAAATGAATTTTTAATGTATAGTCCATTGTTAATTGATTTTTGATTTTGTCAAAAGAATTGTCTAAATATTGAAAAAGATTAGAGCAAGCCTTTTCCCAATGTTGTGGTTGAAATATCACATTTGTTATAGTTTTATCATCAGTAACTACTTTTTTTTCAGTTGATATATAATAGAGCAATGCTGGAAGTGCAAATGCATGTAAAGTAAAAGAATCAATTTTCTTTTGATATAATAAATATTTTATAATGTGCCCTACTGCTAAATATTCATCAAATAAATAATAATTATTCTGCTGAAAATATTTATAAGTATAATTTTCATTATCGGGATAATAAACATCACTTATTTTTCCAAGACGAAGATATATTGAACCAGCTTGTGCAAAAATATAATCCAAAGACAATATACTGATATTGGTATTAGGTTGAGGAAAAAGAGGCATTATTATATCGTTATATATTCTATTTACTGATAAAGGAGTAAGTTTCGAATTAGAACCATATTCATTTTTAAATGTTGTATTTTCAAGTGTTTCTCTAATCATCGTTAATACATAATCAAATTTTAAATTTTCCGTTTTGCGAATTATTTCTGCCAAAAATCCATAACTATTTCCATATTTGGCAAATACAAGGGAACTTATGATATAATCAAACATTGTATTAACAAAAATTATATCAAAATTTTCATTATCTCGTTCTCCATATAAATCACTACCTTGTAGCAGTTTTCGAATTAATTTCACTTTTTCAGAAACATTATCACGATTCTCTTCTAAATATTCATAAAGTGCATTAACAATGGGTATTTGTTTATTTTGATGAACTTCTGTCAAATAATTTTCAGTATATAAAAAATCACTTAATATATTTAAGTAATTGATTACTGATATAAACTGTACAGTTGCTAACGGATCTGATGGAAAAAATGCATTCTCCATTTTGGAAATTTGTATCTTTCGTTTTTGATAATCAAATACAGTATTTTATTTTAATACTGCTGTTAAAAATCTGTTAGTAAAATAAATTATAAAAAAGATTTAGCATTATTATTAATCATTTATTATATTATTTGAAAATATTTTTATTTTAATATATTATTATAACATACCTGATGTTTAAAATGAAATGTCATTTACGTTAAAAATTATATTCATGAAAATGTTCTGATTCAAAGAATGAGTTAAAAAGTAGAATATTTTTTGTATTGCCTCTTAAATATCTTAAAATTTTTAGATTAATAAATATATAATTACAAGAGAATATTTAAAACTTATCTAGAAAAATATTAATACAATTTATCTATACACAATGTTATCAGGTGTTTTTCCAGACAAGAAACACAAATTTGTATTGAAAATTATTTTAATGATATGCTGAGTACTTTAACACTTCTACGGGGTATTATTCATGAGCTGTCTCAGTAAAAAAATTAAAATTATTTGATTGGCTTGTCACTTTGGTAAAACGTTTTAAATTACATTGTCATATTTAAATTCTTATAATTATGGTAAAACTTTATGGATTTTAATTTACATATAATTAATTTATTATGTTAATTATTAACTTCATATTCCTGTTCTTCAAACCTAAAAACATCTAGATATTAAACTATACGTAAATCCATTAATCTTATAGTTAAAAAAAAATTAATATGCTACATAAAATCCAAAAACATGTTTTTTGAGGTTAAAAAAAATCCTGATAAATATAAATTTCGACCATGAAGTAGTATAAGGAGCACTCACTCTATTGGCCGTTTCTGAAAATTCTGCCCTAGCTTTGCCGGATTTAATGAAAGCATTTACATATCGACGATACTAACAACCCTAGCGGGAAAGCGAGGAATTACAGGTCACGTGGTAGATTGATATATAAGTGTCTGTGTGTAACTGTCAGTTAGCGTCGTTTTTGAAATCTTTAAAATGTTCTTGATGCCGGTTCATTTCGCATAATTCGAAATAAAAAAAAGTGAAAAAATAAGCCACTGGTTTGTAAAAGGGTGTACCTCAAAGGGGTATGTGAAATATAACCTATAAATGACAAACAAAATTTAAGAAATTTCGTATGAAATATATACGACTACAATTAAAAAAAATTATTTATATGTCTATTATTATTATTTTCTATAGAAAATTTTCTTTATATTTTCACCAAATTTTTTTTCAAATAATTTCTGTTTTATTTACACTTTTTGTGTATAACTTTTTTCTTTCTTTACACTTTTTCTAAAATTATTATAATATATCACTTTACACTGTTTACTATATGAGAACAGCTGTCACTAGGCGCAGCCATATTGTAAAAACTCCTAAGTACACCGCTTTTCCAATAGAGGCGTCATAATCGGAGATATGTAATTTCGGATTTAATTCTTCTACAGGGGAGCTATATGCTTAAGGGTATGTGGGCAAAGGACGTTTTTTTGTGGTTTGAAACTTTCTCTGAAATAAAAAATGATTTCGGGTTAAAATTTTGGCGAAATGATTTTGTTTGGTACAAGGAATCTTGCTGTTCTACCCATTTACCATAACTTAACGCAAAAATAATAAAAATAAAGCAATAAATAGTAAAATAATGTATTATATCATAGTTCATTCAGCGGCCCCTCGCTTGAATTGGCGCTGTTTACTGGTGCACTGACACACTCAAGCAACATTTGTGTATGCGCCGCCATCTTTGTTTTTATTTTCGTTTAAAAATGCCACTTTTTAAACTTCATTTTTTAATAATTTAACACAAAATTATGTATTTTTCGGAGAACAGCGAGATTCCTTGAACCCAAATTTATTATCCCTCAAAATTTTAGACAAAAATCTTTTTTCATTTTAGAGTGAAATGTATATTACCAAAACACATTTTCCCATACTAGGTCACGTGGGAGGTTCCCACATACTCTTAACAGCAGTGAGTACTCCTTATACTACTTCATGGTTTCGACATATGACCACCAATGAGAGACATCTCCCGGAAAATGTCACAATATCAATTTAATGAAATTAATTATTATGGTGAATTATCAAAAAAAACTTAATATTCATGGGAATTTACTTTTTATTTATTTTTTTTTTCTCTTTAACAATATGTGATTGCTAGGTAAATTTAATTGTATTAAAGTAATTAAAATTCGAATACAATACAAAATAACAATTGATACTAAGCGTAATTAAATTTTTTTTTCAATTTCAATAAATTCAAAACTAACTAAATTTATATGTGTGAATTAAAATGTGTCTTTTAACAAATAAAATATTTTCTAATTTACTTGTATTACAATATATTTTTTTCCAAGCTTATTGTCCCATAATAAGTGAAATTGGTCAAACAATAGGGAGTTTTACCTTATAAAAATGCACAATATTTAAAAAAAACTATGTGTCTATTTTTTGTTGCATTGTTAAAAATACTGACATAATAGCCACTGATTTTTTAATTACCTGAAAAAAAATTATCAATTTTTTTAAATGTTAAATTTAATTTTTTTTACTTCATTGTTATAAAAAAATATGAACCATAGCAAATGTTTCGTAAGAGAATATACAAAATTTTCCAGCAGTTATTTGTAATGGAATTTCTGTTCTTAAAAATAGCATTAATAAATTTTTAGCTTCCAATGTTGTTAAATTATACCATTTACTTCTATAAACACTAAATTGCAATTTTAAAGCCTGCAATTAAAAAGAGATATAATTACATTCATTTTTTAGAAGAATAAAGAAAGATTTTCGATCAACAACAAATATTAAAAATTATTTTAATTTTCAATGTTAGATTTTAATTTAATTAATATAAAAATATTATAAGTAAAATATATTAATTCATTACAATACTTACTGCAAATTTGAGCTTTTCTCCAAGATAGCATACAACGTATAGGTTTGCTAAAATGACAAATACATAAGACATCCAAAAGAAGGCTTCAAAAGGAGTAATATTTCCTGTTTTGTTGAGAATCTAAAGAAATTAATTATTAATATTATTCTAACAAGAATTAAATATCAATATTATATTATACCATTAAGTGATAAAATTGCATTGATAATTGCAACGAATACATTATCATCTCCACAAGAAGAACTTGATTAAAAATATCTTCAATTACTGATGCAAACCTTAAACATAATTTTTTTTTAAATTTATTTCTTTAAAATTCAAAATGTCGGATCCAATATGGCGGAATTTTTTTATTAAAATGGCCTTTATTTACCTGTTAAGATGATCATGTTCTATGACAATTATTTTCAATTTTAATAAAAAATCTTTAGAATTAGAAAAATTATTTGAATTAATAAGCGATTCAAGATTATACTCCAAAATGGAAAATTGACTATGTACATGTAAAATGAGCATAGAACAAAAACTAATCATTGCGCAGAAAAGGCATGATGATAAAGTAACTGCAGATGATTGAAAAAAACAAGTTAATTCATATGCAGGACTTTTTAAAACGTCATAGGGAAAATGTGCAAGGTAAAATAATTCTCGATTTTCTACTTCTCGTCGACTGTTTACAATTATTTTCCCAAGAAAACGTAATGCAGTTGCTGACATTGTCACAGTAAAGCAATATAGAGCAATAATTTTTGCAATTTGAGCATCATTTCTCATTAATTTCCATTCAAATTCACTTTTAGCGCGATTCCAATCTTCATAAATTGACGCTATTAATATTTTCAAATCTAAATAAGAATTAGGAAAATTTTTAAATAAAAATTTATTTTTTTACTTTGATCAATTTTTTTTTTTATCTTTTATTATATAATTTTTAAAGTATATACCTTTTCTTCTATTGCGAACTACAATTAACTTTAGTAATACCATTGTTACAGGAAAATTAGCCAATGTCAAACTTTCGTTTATTAATTCAAAATTGGGCCATATTTCATAAAGAAATACAGTTTGTGGTATTATAATAAAAAATATTAAATTAATTCCAGTTATTATTGATAAAAATTTTGATAAACGTTCATATTTGTCGTTAGGTTCTGGCCATGCACCGACTATTCTCAAATTCATTCGATTCCACCAAACTATAAAAGCCTCATCATTAACTGGAAAAGTTTTAAAAATAATTGCACAAAAAATTATAAGGTATTAAAATAAGCTGCAACGCTTATTATTTTAATCCAATTTTGCTTATTTTTCTTAGGGCTAAATAAATATTTTTTGAATTGAAATAAATTTTGTTTCGTTTAAATAAAATATTTTGGTATATACTTAAAAATTTCCATTAAATTAGTATTTAGAGAATTTATTATATATTATAATAATAATAATGTAGTTTATGAAATATTACCCGACTTGTTAGTCATTTTAAAGTTTATAAAGATGTGATTGCTGAAAGTAGAAGTTGGAAGAAATGCGTCTACTTTAAAATAGAAAAAAAAAATTGCGCAGGCTTACTCGGATAAAACTTTTCACATAACTTATGAAAAATTCAATCGTCTCAGAGAACTTCCGATGTATGTACAGGAAAAAACTCTTAATTTGCATATTAAATGATTTTAACTCGTTCCCATTGAGACCAATATTCTTCAGTCTTCATTATCCCCTTGAAGCAGAAATACGCACTATTCTGCAAAATTATATTTTTATATTCTTTGAGACAATTTTATATTCATTTTACTTAAATTTCATAATAGTGAAAAATATATGTATATGTTAAATATTTCTTAAGTGATATAAAACATTTAAGTTTTAATTTTTCTTCTGCATTTAATCTTTCCAATTTATGGCTTAAGGATTTGTTAATTTTTAAATCTGTCTTTATATACTTTATTCGCCAAGAATGTATATATCGACTTGATGAAGACCGAACTGTCCAAATGCTACATACATTGTAACTTTTTCTGTATAGTCTTCGCAAACTTTATCGTATGTTTGTGCCTGACTTTTAAAGACAGTAATTGCTTCCGCGGGAACTATAGGAAAATTGTTCACGAAGAATTTGATATCAGTAAGAAAATTTTATAACAATTTTATTTCTTGTAAGAAATTCACAACTTTAAACGTTGAAAGTGTATGTGATAAAATCTAATTTCTTACATTCTTGTCACGTGAGAAAATAGATTTTAACTTGACAAAAAAAAATGTTTATTTTTTTTACAGCAACAGCCTAATTTGTGGCAGCGTTAAAGGATACATCAAATTATTATGAAAGTTCATCTAGATTTTGGGGAAATAAAGCTATCCTGGAACCCAGCTGTACAATTATTCTGAGAGTTATTTAGATCTACAAAGCTATTATTATCCAAAAGTTATTTAAAACAATGCTTTAATTATTATCATAAAATATTTTCCTCCGTCGAAAAAAATTACAAAAAAAAGTAAGTAGTACTCAATTGGCAGCCTCTGACAAAATAGCTTATGACGATCAGTACCTGACTGCTAATGGAGCAAAAAAACAAAAAAAACTACAAAAATTTTTGTAAATAATTCAGTAAAAAAATTTTTTGCAAGTTTTTTTTCACGCTTCATTATCAGTTTCATATTCCACATAATCTGGTCTTTGTCTCATATTTGTATTTTTCTAATAACGTAGATAAGATGACTGCATTTTTCTTAAAAATGTTGAAAAGTGAAAATCATTCAAAAGCAAATATCTTTACTTTTGTACCGACATTAAAGTTCGATATTGTTTTTTAAAAAGTAATTTATTAAGGTAAAAGCACTAGTACCTGAACAAAGCAAAAAATTGGAACCAGTAGATGGACAGTAGCGAAAAGAAATTAAAATAGCCCTCAAATTAAACAAAAAAAAATTTCAGATACTCTTTAGATAGTTATCTTTTAGGCAGAATAAAATTTATTAATTGTACGAGTAAAAATATATAAAACGATTCCTTTAAAATTGTCGTCCAAGGCTTATAAATATATATGACGTATCCAATAGTTGGACAATGATTAAATTCAATTAACACGTTAAATAATTAATTCAATTTATTGACAATAATTACATTTTAATTACATATATTAATTAGTTTACCAATTAATCAAAATAAATTAATTACAATTTAATAATTAATTACTCTGAATTCTGCCTGAATTGACTGCCCAAGTTAACCTACCGCTTTATATGTATTGTATTAATTAATATAATTAGTTTAATTATATTTAAATTAAATTATTTAATTTATTAAATCAAAATAAATAAATTATTATTTAATTTACTAATTTAATGTCCAACATTAGTATTTCTTTTGTGAATTATTATTTCTATTGATAATTTGTTACAATATATTAAATTAGAGTAGCGGTTTTATGGAGGTAATTATTTTCTTCTTATTTATTTAATTGAAAACAGATAATTTTGTGTTTATAATTTAACAATTGTTTAACAAATTTTTTTAATTTAAATTCTAATCTGCTTTGTGTATGCATTAAGGGTATGGAAGTATAGAAAAATGTGTTTTGGTAGTATACATTTCTCTCTAAAATGAGAAAAGATTTTTGTCTAAAATTTTGAGGGATGATACATATTAGGGTACAAAGAATCTCGCTGTTCTTCGAAAAATACATAATTTTGAGTTAAATTATTAAAAAATGAAGTTTAAAAAGTGGCATTTTTAAACGTAAATGAAAACAAACATGGCGGCGCATACACTGACGTTGCTTGAACCTCCCCTTAAATGTGTAGTATTTGCACCGCACCCACGTTAATTACTCACTCATAAATAATTCTAATTAGTTAAAATAATTAATTGGCGTAAATATATTTCATAATAATTTTATTAATTAATATTTATTATTTATTTATGTTACATATATTATATATTATATTTATATTATTTCTTCTATAATAAATTATTTATATGATTTTATTCCTCATATGTTGTGTGTATAAACAAATTATGCAGTACTTATAAAAATGCACATTATATGTATATGGTTTAATTACTCTACGCTCCAATTTTTTGTTGCATTTTTAATAATACTGACAGAAAAGCCACTAATTTCTTAATTATCTGAAAAAAATTACTGCCCTCTGTAATTGTTAAATTATTTAATATAATTTTAATCCACTATTATTAAATTCAATACAAACCATTGCAAATGTCTCATAAGAGAATACCCAAAATTTTCCAGCTGTTATTTGTAAAGGAATTTCCGTTCTTAAAAATAGCATTATTAAATTTTTAGCTTCCAATGTCCATAAATTATACCACCCGGACAGCACCGAAACTTCCCTGAACCTTGACTGAACCTCGCTTGACGAGGTTCGGGAACTTGAGTCGCAAGGTCCAAACGAGGTTGAGTTGATGTTTTAATGTCCGCGCATAATAAAGGTCAGTCACAGAGGTTGGCTGAATATTGGATTTGAATTTCTGTTAAATATTAAAATTAAAGATTCTTGGCATATTGTGAGGGGATATTTAAGGAAATTAAAAATTCAAGATTTGTTAAATGTAATCGTTAAATATTCTGGAAATTTAGAAGGAGCATAAATACGGAAAAATAAAAAGAAAGCAAATGAATTTAAAAAAAACTATTGATAATTGCATTTTCTATGACATGGGAAAGCGTAAATAAAACAGAAATTAATAGACAATCATAAATACAGTTATATTTATTAGTAATAAATTATTATTACATTAAATTACAAATAGTGTTTAACTCTTTTGACAAGAAATATTTTCAAATAGAAATGTTGTCTACAATGTGTGGTGAAACAAAAACTCAAATAAATGAACGATTTACCTACTTAAAAAGAAAATTTTGTTTATTGCAAAATTTGTACTATAGACAAAAAAAATGCATTTTCGTAATGATTTACTCAGAAAATTCTTTTGAATGAATTTTTTTTGGCTCAATAAAATTATTGTTGAGAATATTTACTAGGATTTCTGCCAAAAAAAATTCTGAAAACTCGTTTTAATAAAATTTGCATTTAATTTTAATTTTTTATTAGCACATGAAATGTGCCTGCAGACTCTCAAAAAAACCTTTAAAAATTTAATTTTTATGTAACTACTAATAAATATAACTGTATTTATGTTTGGACCTCGCGACTTAAGTTCACGAACCTCGTCAAGCGAGGTTCAGTCAAGGTTCAAGGAAGTTTCGGTGCTGTCCGGGGAATCACATATAAAATACGAATGTCAAATTCCCAATCGTTGGAAAAGTAATTTGATACTTTTCTGTAACATTTATTTTATCATTCTTTGGTGAGTTGTTTTTAATCTTCAAGTATTAATTGTAACACACAGAATCTATAAACGAAAAACCAACACTATTACACTTAGTTCAAACACATAAATTATTTTCTTATTGATGAAAATTGCCTTTTATTTGATCTCTTTGTTTTGCTTGTAATAAGTGATTTTTGTGAGACTTGATTTTCAATCAAGTATAGTTTAAAGTAAATGTTGCTTTAATTGTAATCAATTTATTAAAAACCAATTGGGGAATTAAATGTAAATACTTTGGGGGTTGAATGAATAAAACAGATTTCTTTTGTTGTGATAATTACGTTTCTATTTACTCAATCACCTTTTTGATGTCTATATTATATCTCGCTTTTTGATCATTTTCACTTAAATACCGTCTATCCGGGTTTATTGAATAAATAATATTCTAAGTGACAGTCCACTACCTTAATCTAACTTTGTTAGCGAAGAGCAATTTACGCTTTCCAAATAAACGGAATTGTTAATAATAAAAATTAGTATTATTTCTAACTTTATTATTGTCTCGTCAAATTGTCTATTTTATTTTCTTTTATTAATAATTAACTTCTGTCTTTAACAGTAATCGTATATTTTAATGAAAAAAAATGTGTTTCAATAAAAAATTCAAAGAACGAAATATCCTTACTTTTAGTTTTTATAAACCAAAGTAAATGTCAAGGACAATCAATACTTTAAAATTACTATTATTTAATATGTAGAATCAAATTCATTTTTATTTTGAAAAAAACTTTCAGCATATATTTTCTCAATTATTATTTTTTTTTTTCACAAGACAGAGTTTATAATTTTCTGACAATCGTGCAATTTGTACACAATTTTTAAACTACAAACAAACATATATCGATGCCTTGAAATTC